AGAGTCAGATGTTCCTGTTCCCACAGTGAACTGAGACCTTTAGAAGCGAACTCTGAGGCAGAGGAATAAAACTCGCTGGCATGAAGGTCAAGTTCCCTGCCCTGGAAAGTCCCCCTTCTGCTTGTGCTCGTGGGATGGTCCCCAGCAAGCCACCTAACATGGCCCAGGGTGGGCTTCTGTGGCTGTACCTGGCATCACCGCCTACTGATCCGCTGCATGAACCTGGCTGGCCTTACCGGCCTCAGGCTCTGTCACAGGGCAAGTTCATCCCACTGAGCCCTGCGGACCTTGGAGAGGCCTGTGATGTGAGGGTGAAAAATCATAGCATGTCGAGGGGTTTGGAGAGGTGACACCTAATGTAGCCTGTATGGGGCTCTGGGAGGCCCACCCTATTCTTCCTCCAAACCATTCTTACCCATTAAGGCTTCAAGCAGGTAAAGGATGAGGAACTTTGAGCCAACCCCTGGATAGCGGGAGTCCTTTTGCAGTTCAGTTAGGATGGTGCCACCAGGGCCATCCAAATGACCGAAGGGTTCCTGTTCAAGCTATAGGAGACAGGGCTTATTAATGATGGTGATAATAACATCAGTGATTTCGCCTGTAAATTCTGCATCTACAAGTGATTAACCAAGGAGTGGGGGTAACGGCTCCATGAACCCCCAGGGAACATGGAGCACCCCCAGTCTGTGAGGACCGCCTTCCTGGCCCTGGTCATTGGGCACAGGACCAAGTCCCCAACCTCAGACATCCTTCCCATTCCACTAAGATTACCCCCATTTTCCTTTCCCCACACACCTTGGCAGCCCTACCTCTGAAACACCCCCCATTTACAAGTCGGATCCGGCTTAGGGAGCGGCCGGGCACCTCCCAGTGTCCATGCGGTCCTGGAGAGCCTCGCGGTCCTCAAGCATGGCCAGGAGGTTGGAGAACACAACATCCTGCATGTCCTTCGAGAGCTTGGCCGCTTTTATGTTCTGGGAAACCTCCTCTTGTAGCAGTTTGAAATCTGTCCACTGGAACATCTGCATTATCTTTCTGAGTAGGTATTGACCTATGAACCAGGAGGTCACAGTTCAACTCCCGGTCAGGGGTCAGGGCACATGCC